AGAGAGAGAGAGAGAGAGAGAGAGAGAGAGAGAGTGAGGCACTAAAATGCCAACATTGTGGCAGGTTTTGCCCGAGAGCTTTGAGGAGCAGATGATGCTGGCAATGGCCATCTCACTGGCAGAGGCACATGCAGGGCCGAGTGTGGCCTGCACAGATTGGCACAATGCGGGAAGAGGGAGAAAAGAGAAGACGTGGGCAACCAAAGGTGAGGAGAGAGAAAGATGGTAAAGGCAAAGGTGGAAAAGCCAGATTGATTGATTTTAGCATTTTCTCTGTGCATTTGTTGTATCTGCTTGTTCTTCACTCTCATGCTTAGTCACACTTCCATTGTACTCCCTCTTTTCTTTTTTGTGCTCTCTCTCCTTTTGTATACAGTTGTAAAGGTCATGCTATCATTGGATGTTGGACCTCTTGCTTGAAGTGGAGGTTTAGAAATCTCTTCATACCTTTATCTCTTTTCCTTTTCGACTTTTTCCTTGCTCAAGTGGCTAAATGGTTTTGCCTTTTGGATCATCCATCTTAATATGTAGAGCTCCATGAATTCAATTCATGGAGCATGCTCAATATGTTGGATAGATTGTATTTCGTCTTCTTCTTTTTTTTCTTTTTAAATTGGTGCAGATGCTCTAAGAGGCTGAGGTTGCACAAGTCTTTTGATGATTTGTAATCGTAGCCGTCCATTTTGGAGATTGAGTGGTAAAATACTATAACCATACCTGCGGGGTCTTAAATAATACTAAGGATCAATCTTGTACCTATGGAATTATTGCGGAGGCCAAATTTTCCTTGGGCCCTCTGTGAGAAGGGTTCAGGCCCCTGCAGGAGCGTACTGTCCATTTGATCCCACGGATAAATTGGAGTTTCTTATTTTTTGGGATCTTGAGATGTGTCCTCTTCAATATCACGACCAACTTCAAATAAAAAAGGGAAAAGTCGAATGCACCTTTTAATGCCCTAAAATTGAACGTAGTCTAATTTTTGGCACGCCGGATCTGAGTTAAAGAACTAGAAATTTATTTATTTATTTAGTTTTTAAGTATAATCAATTAACCTTATTTAAGTCTATTCCTCGATTCCAAAAGATGGTCGACAAGAGCATTAAGCTCATATAACCCAAGCGTGATGTCAGGTTCCTGTTAGGTCCAACGTGGGACCAATATTGTTTTCGCACAAGGAAATAGTGCCTAAGGAGTGGACATGGTTTCCCCCATTTATATTTTTTTATTTTTTTATTGATTGATTCTCACCCAAGAGGGTCTGCCAGATCGCGGCCTGACCTCGTTATCGGATGGCTGGATGAACTAGCTGATCTAGGTTTTAGAACTCTGCTTATGAACTAACCTTTCTTGTACTCATAAAAAAATTATAATTATTTGCATGAATTGAATTTATTTTTATTTTATTATGATAAGTTCTAATGCTGGTTGTAACTTCAATAATATCCTTCTAAAATTGATGTATCATGTTGATTTAATTCTTTCCCTTATTTCCATTAGAAAATACTCTTGCAATAATAATATGTATGTATTTGAAATACTATTTGCAATACTAACACTTTTGCAGTGTCCCTGCATCTAGGGTTAGTGTGGAGCTTATATCTCTTTGTCTTGGTTGTGGATGAGTTAACTAGGCACCTACAAGATGAGGTGGCATGTATGTTAGTCGCGGACGATATAGTCTTGATCGATGAGATTAAAAATGGCATCAATGAGAAATTAGAATATGTATACTTTAGAATCTAAATGATTTAAAATTAGCTGAAGTAATGTAGAATATATGATATATAAGTTTACTAATAATAAGAGTAAAAATGAGGTAGTAGCTACGATTGATGATCTAAGTATTTTCAATATTTTGGGTCAATAATCAAGGAAAATGAAAAAATTGAGGAAGATGTTACATATATAGTTAAGGCTGGGACGGCAAAATGGAGATGTGCATTCAAACTTTTATGTGATTGATGCATATCAATGAACGTGAAAGGAAAGTTCTATGGAATAGCTGTGAGACCATCTTTGCTTTATGAAACAAAATGTTGGGTGGTCAGCAAACAACTTACCCATATGATGAGCGTAGTTGAAATTAGGATGTTGAAATGGATGAGTGGTAAGGCAAGAAATGATATAAATAGAAATGAATATATTCAAGAGAACTTAGGTGTGATTTCCACAGGTGATGAGGGAAAATACACTTAGGTGAGCTGGCTATGTACCGCGTAGAACAAATACAACACTGGTTAGAAAGTTCGACTTGGTTCAAGTAGATGACTCTAAAAGGGTAAAGGGAAGGCCCAAAAGGACATATAGATGGAAGTAGAAGGAAAATATATGGGACTTATGGTCTTATTAAGAGTATGAGAATAGAGCATAATAACGGAACATGATTTGTGCAGGTACAATTTAATGCAAATTTTTGCTTATTTGCCTTCTTGATATTTGCATTAAATTGACGTTGGATATGTTATTGGTTTTTTGTTTGAAAAATACTTTTGTGTATTTCAA